GCAGGTTTGAGCCCCAGCCCTGGAGGTGATCCACATGCTGACCACACTGACCCACCCACTGCTCTGCTCAGCAGTGTACTTCTTCTATTTGCCTGTTCTGCTCCCCACTCTGTCTCTGGTGAATCCTCTCACTGACCCTGCGCCTCTGGCCTGTAACCCAGTTCTGTATGCATAAATAAATTTTTAAAAATGCAAACAAAATTTTAATTCATTTTATTGTTTGAAACTTTAAACTGCAATGTAATTTGGAGGAGGATGAAAGCAATCTTTTGAAACCAAACTGAGTACATCAACAAAACCAGGGGGAAACAAGGTGATATCTCTTGCAATGTGTGTAATCTCTACTTTTCGACTAAAAATCCAGTGTAAAAACATAGGTCTCCAAGAAACTGAGGAAGAGAAAAGTCAGGGAACATCTTCTACCTGCCCGCAAAGCCACAGTGGCCAGATTAGCCAATGACACAAAACTGGACTGTGACCAGCCTTTTTGAACCATTTCTATGCAAAAAGGTAAGTCTGTGAAAAGCACAGGTGGCTCCAGGCAGAAGACTCTACCTGCAGAGTGTATGAGATGTTGAATATTGAGCATTATGAGTTCTCTAAAAAGAAGCATTTAATGGGGGTTAATGTTTACAAATGTTATCAGTAGTAATTCTAGTTATCTTTGCCACTTACTTCTATTCCACATAAGCTCTGTGGCCAAAAGAGGCCCTGCAGAAAGCCATTTATGAATAAATACAACTGCTTGACAGGAGAGTCACTCTCCTATCACCATGCTTAGCAGACTAGCCAGAGGTGCTATGAGGCATCATAAAGCCAGCAGGCCCTAGAAGGACATCCTTAGTGCTGGATGTCAGTGATCTCCAGGGAAAAGAATATATGTAAGGAATGCACCAGCCATTGCACATAAAACTCCTTTTCACAGTTGTGTCAATTTTCCTTTACTGTTGTAAGCACTAAAAAGATCCAGACAGCTATTCTGTCCATGAATGACAGTTCAGAGTTCAGGCTTTTTAAAAAGGTAAGAATAAAGATCCCTGCAGATCCAGAACTCTTGAGGCTGATGTATTATAACCAAAGACTAGACTACTACCACAAATGCAAGTGATTATATCTTTCATGCAATACACAGATTCCTATTTGCCATGTGCTACAGTCCCTAAAACAGAAAAGTCTACATCAAGATTTGGTGGTGCAAGGAGTTAAAACACAGTACTAACAAGCCATAGCCACTACAGCATGAATTCATTTCCCAGTCAGGGAGCTGACCAGCTCAGCAGACCAGACCGCTCCGGTCTTGTCTGCTGCTCCCCTCAGCAATGTATCTCAGTCAATCCACCTATTCTGTTCCCCACTCTTGTCTCTGGTGAATCCTTTCACCCCCTGTACCTCTCGCCTGTACAAGAGTTCAGGGTTTAGGAAAAAAAGTAAAGACATGACAAAAATAGCCTCCATTTAGTTAGAATTACTCTTACTACATGAATAAAGATGTAAAAGATCACAACAGCATTTAAACACGGGTATCACAAGCATCAAAAAATTTACTCTTTCTGGGAAGCAGCCTGCCAAAAAATTTGAAATGGCCTGACATAGGAGCCTGTTTTTCATCCTGGTGTACTGCTGTGTTTATTTGTAATTGCATAGCATCACATAACCCTCTACTAGGGCCATTTCAGACAGCATGGTAGGGTTCAGGTTTAAAATGAAATATGCTATGCACCTTTAAAGCTCAATGATTCTATCCCCTTTTGACAAATGAAGAATGTAAAATTCTAAGAGATCCATTAGTGATGTAGCCAGAAGCAGAAACAGGAAGAAAACGATATATCCTTTTTTCCTCCATCTGGGCTTTTCCTAGTTGATGTTTTCCAATTTGTCCTAAAGTAGTTGAAACAAAAGTTAAGTGCTGAGCTGCTCCGTGATGGGGTCTCCAAATGCTAAAAGATGAACATGAATAACAGAGCTTATGAATTTAGGCATCTTTTGATCAAAACTACTGTGAGACAAAAGTTGCTTTAAGAGGGGACATATGTTAAATCCAGGAGTGCTTCCTGGAAGTTCAGTCTAGCATCCATCACACTAACTCAAGGATATCTCTGTTGCCAATTTATAAGTGTGTATACCAAGCTTTATGAATGCTGAGAGAACAGTCCCCATCACACCCAGCAACTGGCATTCATTAAAAAGTATGGCTATTTTTTGCTTTTCCAGATAGTTCCACAGGTCAAAGAATTGTACACACACTCTAAAATGAATGACATGTGTGAAACACACAGCTCTCCAGAGGAGTATCTTAACATAGCTCTCCAGTAAGACTGTCAACTGGACAGAACTGTTCCATTAACTGTACAAGATCAGTCCTACTCAGGGTCACATAACCTTCAGCTAGCAAGCTGGGAAGCGAGTCTGGAGATCACTATTGATCACGGCTTTAAGAAAAAAAAAAAAAGGCCCAGCCAAGAAAATCATTATAGAACAACTCTTGGGAAGCTGAGGTGGCTTAATTTGGGAGAACTGAGGTTTGAGGTTGTGGCCCTCAGCCTTGTTTTGTGAATTTAGGAGCAAGGGTCCTCAACAAAGTGATAGCCACAAGTTAAATTTAAATGTTAAGAGTATTTCTGAGGTCATATATTCCTGGCTGTTTAGGGGAACAATTCGTTCCAAAGCAAAACAGAAACCCTAAACCTAGAAATCAGACTCCGCACCACTCAATTCCTCCCCTACTCCCCCAACCCCCCAGTGTCTTTAGGGTGCTTCTCTTGACCTGGCCACACTGAGCTCACTCACTATTAGGAAAACTCGGTGGCTTTTCATTTTTAACACAAAAGTATTCTCAAAGTTACCTGCCCCCCGAGAAAAAAGATAACTATATAACCTTAAGATTCTGTAGGGCACAATAATAAAATGCACTGCCCCCCAAGGTAGTTATTGATTATCAAGCTCTAATTTATTAAACTTATTTTTAGAATAGTTAAATCTCCCTTAAAATAGTTTTGTAGCACCTCTCAGAATTATATATACCAAAGAAATGTCTGCTATTTCAAACTACATTTGAAAAATCAAACAAAAATTGATAGTACATATTCTTTGGAACTTACTAATTTTAATGAATCAGAAAGTGGCCTCCTTACAACTTAACAAAATGAAAAATAATTTGTATCTTTTGTAGTCAAAGTCACATTCCTTGTTCTAAAGGAAGATAAATTATTTATTCTCTAAAAACCAAATACCTAAATATCTCCAGCAAGTCTCCACCAGTCCAAGCTCTGGTATGGCACTGAAGAGGCTAGCGCGGAAGCAGGTTACCCTATTTAGCTTCCATTAGTTTTTTTTTTTACCATCTCAAGGGCTATTAAATGACTTAAAACAGATGTTTGGGTTCTATTAGGGTCTAATTTTGCCTGGGAAAGCTGAGAAGCTTTAGCATCACGACACTCTTGGCATTCCCTTTTCTACGACTACCCCAGAGCTGGAGTGAGCTCACCATGGGAGACCCTTGTAATTCCTTTACCAGGGCAGAGGGTTAAACAAGGCTCAGGATTTTATAGCTATGAATTCCACATCTCTTTTATACTACTTAAAGAAGGATATAGGTAACTTGCTGGGATTTAAAAATTTTAAGAGTAGCTGTAGCGAAAAGAACTCTTGACTATGGAGGGGTCTGGGGTGCAGACCTATTATCAGAAGACTCCAGTGTTGACCCTACTTCTTGAGGAGGAGATACAGGGTACGCTGTGTATCTACCACTCTTGACTCCAGTTCAGGGCACCTTCCACCTTTTACCACTTAGAGAAAATTAGCAAGAACTATTATGGTTCAAGTCATTCAAGAAATACAGATTGTGGACCTAGCTATGTGATTTTGGGGCAAATGACCTAACCTCTCTGGATTCTCTGCTTACTCATTTGTCAGCCAGTACATTTACCTAATTACACTGTAGATATTTCAGCCACTGCACTTTTACAAAGCACTTTCACATATTTCATTCATTAGATTCTTGCAATGACCCTGTGAAGTAACCCTGTGAAGTATTATCTGCATTTTATAAAACTGGAAATTGAGACTCGGAGGTTAAGTGACAACTCCAAAGAATAGAAAGTGGGACTGAACTATAAATTCCTGATTCCCAATCAAAGGCTACATCATGTTGTCTGAACCTTCTGGTTTCTATAATATTAAAATGTTGTAATTTAGAAAAGGCCTATTATCATTCACAACTCACACCACTGTGTTTGAAACAGGACAGTATTTATGGTTGCAGAACAAGAAGTGCACATGAGTAAGTGCTCCTCCCTCTAACACAAACTTCTGTTTTCAATTTAATCCTTTTTAGTGTTTTTAAATGAATTTTAAATGTCTAGATGCTAATAAGCATTAACAATAAAGATGCTTAGTACTATGGCGAAGGCTCTTTACTTCTTACTTCTAGTAGCAAAACATGAGCAAGAGTTCAGAATACATATTGTACAGTTAAATTAGAAGCAAATCATTACTTTGCTAGAAAAAAAAAAAGATGAAGAAATAGTAACAACAAAGATTAACAAAGCAATGTTGGACCTGAGAGTTTTTCTAAGAAAGCTGACATGCTGGGTTCCTTAACCTTGAGGTCTGGGACCTAAGTTTCCCCTTCTTTGCCTTCTATCCTCATCCATCCAGGAAGCAGGCATAGTTCAGCAAGGATGATTGGACACAAAGAAGAATGAAATCTCAGAGAGAGTGTAAATGTGTTCTTTCTCTTGGCAGTAAAATTCCTGAGCTGTCAGAAAATTGGGGTGTTGGGGAGGGAGCATTGATAGTCCTGTATGTTTAGTAGATATTTTGGTATTTTACCAAACTCATAAGATGAACTGGCTGGGAGCCATGTAACTGTGCAACACTATTCCATGGGTCTCAATTTTCCAATGTCGATTAAAGTGCAAAGTAACTAAGACACAGATCCTCCCCTCCTGCCCTTATTATCCCCACTTTGTTATTGTTACGCCATAGCAAAGGGCACTGACCTGCTTTGCCCACTTCCCCTTTCCTCAGTGATCCTTCAGCCTGGCACCCAGCTCTGAGATGAGGCCTGCTTAGCACCAGTGAAGCTCCCCACGTTCAAACCAACAACGTTCTGTGTGGAGATGAGGGAATCAAAGTTAAAATCCAACCCATCAGCATCCATAAGTTCGCTACGAATAATGGACTCCATGTCACATTCCAAGCTCCCATTGAACATGTCCAGGTCCAAGTCGCTGGGGAACTTCTCATGGCCCATGACAGGAAGGTTTGCACTAGTTGAGTACAAGGAGGAGCCTGAGAGAGAGTCCGAGAGGGTTTGCATAGACTGGCTGACAGGAGACTGCTGCTGGTGTTTGGCTGACCCAAGGCTGCTGGAGTCGCTCAAGCCCATGTTGCTGACAGAATTCGACAAGGCACGGCTGCCACCAAGAGCACCCTGGGTTTGGTGCTGGTGGTGGAGCAAGTTCTGATTGACCAAACTCCCCTGGTTAGGCTGGGCAGCAAAGGACATCATTGGATCGTTGCGAAGCATCACGTTCCGGCGGGAGTTCTGGGCAGACACAGCGGTGCTGGCCTGAGACATCAAGGGGTCTGACTGGGTCATCATGACATCACTGTGGCTGAGTGAGTCCGAAGTAAGCAGGTCCTGGAGTGTCTGGTTGCCATAGTGTGACATGGAAGAGAAGGTAGCTGGCTTGTTCTCTTGGATGGTCTGCATGGGAGACTGGCGCAGAGAATTCAGAGATGAGGGTCCAAACACCGTGCTGTTAAAGGAGCTGGTTGGAGAGCCCAGGCCAGAGCCCTTGGTGGTGTACGGGAAGCTAGAGCTCCGCTGCATGAGCCCTCCAGTGGGTGATGGCTGGGATGATGGGAGAGTGATGTTATCCAGCAGATCATCCATGAGGTTATCAGCCAGCCCATCGTTCAGATTCATGGTGCCCGCCATGTCAGTGAGCCGTGGCAGCTCCACGTTGCATGGCTTGCTCACAGAGGGTGAGAGGCTGGCCGAGTTGCTGTAGAGCATTGGGGAGAGTGGCGCATCATCATCCTGGACATCATCCAACTCTGTGCTTGCCAGGATGGGTGACAGGCGGCCGCTGACTGTGCTGGCATTGGAATTGGTTCGTGAGCGGAAGTCGGTCCAAGCATCCAACTCATCACTGCTGCGAGAAGTGGGGCTGCCAGGCCACTTGGAGAGCTGGGAGGGACTATCATCTGCTGACTCGGGGGCCGTCTGCAGGGCTGCCTTCTTCTTGGCTGCCCGGCCCCGGCTCTTAGTGTACTTGTTGCTGTTGTCCATGGAGACAGCCCGCCGCCGAGGTGCCTTCCCACTCTTCCCTCCATCAGGGTTGATGATCCACCAGGAGCTTTTGCCGGTTCCCTCATTCTGGACCCGCATGAACCGGCTATGCAATGACAGGTTGTGTCGTATAGAATTCTGCAGAGAGAAAAGGGAAAATTGAAGACTATGAGCCAGTTGGTTCAAATGTGAGCACTTAGAAGAAATAGCCTCCCCAGTCTCAAGAGCATAAAAAAAAATTGCATGACCCTTCTTGGCTTAGAATTAAATGACAACACATTAATGGCAGTTTTCATATCAAGGAGCTGGAAAATGGCTTCGTATCTGGGAGACATGGGATATATAAACTCACAGACATTGTTTCCCCAAATTCCTGTGTTGCTCTTCTTTCTGTAATTAGATTCCTATACTGAGGGTCACATTTGTTAAGTGAGTACCATATCATTTTCTCCCTGTACTTTGCAACAAACCTCCCTGGCTTTCTAAGGTAATTTAATCAACTGGAGGAGGACTTTCCTATAGCACCTGCTTCCATTAATAGAAGCAGCATCAACCTTTTCTTAACCATGTCTATGAACTCAGAACTAGTGTGGATTTCTAGCTGTCCCTTCTATGGCTCTTACTGCCACAACTTCATACTTCTCTGGCAAGCGTAAGAAAGAAAAAGAGGGGGTGGGTGGGAGAGCAAGGTTTCTGTTGACAGAAACAGGTTAAGTCAGAAAAATTCCAAGTAATTTATATTGATACCCCCTCCTCTGAAGGCATATGGTCTGAGCATAGTAACTTCCCTCTAAGGAAATGGGAAAAGCTTACTATGGAGAAACCTGGCAAACAGCTTCAGCCAGATGATCAGGGCAACATCAACTGGGGTAAATCATGTCAACAGTATGTATGCTTGATATGATGTGATAAAACAAAACAAAACAAAAAAAACCTGGCACCTTGCTCAATGGTCTTCTTTCCATCATCCCAGTTTAGTCATGAGAAAAACATCAGACATTTCCAATTAAAGGACATCTGTAAGGTGCCTGTTCAATGTTCCTTAAAACTGTCACAAGCTCCTCCATCAAAAGAGCCATGAGGAGCTTAAGGAGACATGACTGCCTGTTTTCAAATGCAATGTGGTATACTAGATGGTATGCTGAAACAGAAAAAGGATATGAAGGAAAAATAAGGAATTTTGAATGAAGTGGGGACTTTAGCTAATACTTTATCACTAAAAGTTCATCAGTTGAAACAATTACTGTAGGATGTAATAATAACTGATATAAGAGAACTCTCTGGACTAGATTTACAACTTCTGTGTAATTGAAAACTAAAGGTTTATTAAAGAAAAAAAAGGGCACAATATTCTCAAAACCTTAATGTCTGTATTCGTTTTGCATCCTGATTAATAGATAAGTCCAGCTGACAGCAATGCTACAGTCCCACCACTGCCACTAACCAACCATGTGACCTTCACCAAATCTTTGAATTGGTTGTTACAACTTCAATTCTCCATCTTCATCACAGCCATCACAACATGCAAAACATACCTCCCTGACAAGGATGATATTTAATATCATCACGTGAGGGTTTTCTTACTACTATCATAAGGCAGAGTCCACAATGGGGAGAGCTCAGTGCCTAGAGTACAGATTCAGTCTGATCTGTAAAATGCTGCATATGCAGTGACAGAGAGGACATGATGATATTCCCCATATCTGGAACAGTAGATCTGCAGGACAGATAACTTTTTAGTTGCAAGCTAAAGACAAAAGATAGTATCTGATTCTGTATATTAAATATGAACCATCCTAAGTGTTACCATAGTTTTTTTTTTTAAATTGGCAATCACCGACTGTATTTATGTAAAAGATACAAATACATGTGTTCTACCAGAATGTTTAAAAAACAGAAAGTCAGTGGGATATTGCCATAAGTAAATAACCCAAAATACTCAGTGTTTGCCATGTATGTTCCTATGTAAAAAGGGCCCTCAATTTAGGCTGGGCAACGAGCAGTAGTGACCACAGGTCAAAAGTCAGCATCTTTACAATTGCCATAAGGAATTGCCATAAGGTGCAAATGAAGATGCAAAGAAGAAAACAGGCAATATGCTGGGTATATGATGAGACAATGTTACCCAGGATATATACATCCTTTTCACCTTTTTTTTTTAAGATATATTTTATTTATACATACAAGAGAGTGTGTGTGGGAGCTGGGGGTGAAAGGATTCACCAGAGACAGAGTGGGGAACAGAACAGGCAGATCTACTAAAATACACTGCTGAGGGGAGCAAAGGGTGAGACAGGAGAGGTCTGCTGCCTCCAGTGGGTCACCTCCCTGGCTAGGGATTGAACATAAAGCAGTGGCTGGCAATTGCCTGATAGCACTGAGACTTTAACCCCTGTACCACAGGGAGGTCCCCCTTTCACACTTTTAAAAGAATAATAGCACTGTTAACTACAGTTAACTAATTGTAGTTAACTACAATTCAGAAACTACATTTCTTGAAAAAGTAAAACATTTTCTCTATGAACTAGAATACAAAATATGCTTTTAAAATTCTCTGAATGGGGCCCTCCCTGGTGGCGCAGTGGGTTAAAGCACAGCACTAAGAAGCTTAAGCCACTTCTGCATGAGTTCAATCCCGGCATGCCCCGGAGGTGACCACATGGCGTGGCAGACCTCTCCTGACCTGCCCGCTGCTCCCCTCAGCAGTGTACTTCGTTGATCTGCCCCACTCTGTCTCTGGTGAAGCCTCTCACCCTCCGCATCTCTGACCTGTACCCCAGTTCTGTATGAATAAATAAATCTTTAAAAAAAAATTCTCTGAATGATTCAAAAAATAAGCAAGTACAAGGTAGTTCTATTGAGTACTCATATGACTAGATATATAAAACAAAAACTTGAGCAAGCTTTGAAAAAACAGGAAAGTCCTGAGGCAAAGTACACACACTGGCTTCATGGCCTCGACACTGGTCAAAGCCTCTTTTGCTTTAGATTTTGTAGAGTTCACACCAATGTCCAGAATTAACAGACCAATCATAAGCATCCAATTATACATACCCCCTTTAAAAAGCATTTAGGGAATCTACTGGGAAATACAAACAATATTGTAAAGCTCTTTAAAATACCTTATATGGATTTTTGTGTAGTCATCTATTGCTGTAACTCTAAGCCCCAACAATGTGTATGTGTAATTTTATAAAATTAAAAGCTGCAGAAATTAAACTTCTGTAAAGATTGTGGTAAAGGGGCTAGACCCACATCTAGGACCAGGATCACATGGGATCAGGTCCAAGGTCCCAATTACTAGCTGAAGAATAAGAACCCACCTGATTATAGCGCTGTCTGTTACTGGGCGATAGGTTTTTGATTCACTGTCTCTAACCCTCATAATAAACCTGCCATATTGGTTATCAGTGCCCTCATCATATAAATGAAGGCTGAGAGAGATTAAATAAAGTATACAAGACCACACAAACCAATGCTAACTCCCTCAGATGCTGAAACAAAACCCAATTTACTAAGTGGATGACAAGTTTTCAGAGTCCAATTTTTACTCAGCTATCATTTTTGAGGTTATTCGTGGCAGAATGCATTCCCTACAGCACACTGCTTACACAATACCTGAGCAGGTTTTTCCAGTTATATTAGAAAGACCCCCCCCCCGAAATGTGCCAACACTATCCTCATGGCCCCCATCTCAGCAACCTCCTATTCATCCATGCTAATTAATCACCATTTATGAAATCCTGAGCTGGCCATGACTTATGAAGATGAGAATCAAAAACTATAGTTAGCCCACCCCCAGGTCAAATGTCTACACACTTTGCCAGGATAAGGTGCTAAGGTATTCTGCTGCATTCCTCACAGGTCCTGGTTCTAATCACTTATGTCCCTAACTAAATTTTAGTGAAGTAGGAAAAGGTAAAAAAAAGTCAGAAATGTAATGTTTTCTCACAGCTTCCCTGAAAACAAAAGTTAAAGGATAAGATTTCAAACTACTCCTCCCTTATCTCAATATCCCAGGCATGAAGAAATATAATTTATAGAAACAGACAAGTCAATTGCAAAATCCACTTATGATTTAAGTTCTTTAACGAATGCTCCAGTGCACTGTTTAAAATATAAAATTATTTAAACTGTTCCATGGTTTTCCTTGAATATAATCTTACCAATCAGTATAAATTTCTAATACTTAACATTAACTTGGGGATTAAGGAATAAAGGTAAAGAAGGAATGGTTTGACAGGAGAAGGATTTTTTCCTAACCACCTAAATACACATTTTGAAATACCTTATGAAACTAGCTAACACTAACTGGTGGAGGTACTAGGGATATGACCACAGTTACATCCCTTATGGTGATTAGGAGATCATCACATCTAGTTGCTAATGAAGCCAAACAGTTACCATGATCCCAACCAAAGCCATGTGAACAGTTCTGGTTGTTTAATCCATTACTAAGAAATCAAGATGCTTATTAATTACTGGAAAGCAAACAGCTCTAGAAAGAAACATTAGTGGTAGGGACAAATACACCAGTTTTCTTCCATTTGGGCCAGACTTAGAGAACCCTTAAGCAACTATCACAACATCCCTGAAGAGAAAGTAGAGACAAAATCCATCTCGTTTTTGCATCAATGTCCCCTTTTACAAAAACACACCAGCAAGTCCTGTGCAGGGGCAGAAACTCTTCAGACACAGTTACTCAGGCTGCAAGCCTGTGTTCTGTGACTGCAGCTGCAATTAAATTGCCCTAATCCTTCAAGGAGGCACATGCAGTAGGGAACCCACATTTCAGTTGTGCTATCATTCCTAAGAGCCACAGCCTAGACACCCTGTGCTTCATCCTTCAGGAAGAAATTAGCATTAAGATGACTGTCCCCAGAAACTAGTAATTATTTTTCTTGCTATACTGAAGACAGTCTTCTGCAAGACACATTTACTGTTTACTGGGAAAGTATACATGCTCATTACATACAGACTAAACGTAAGGACAGATGGAACCATATTAGGTGTCTGATCCTGAAATAAAAATTTTAAAAATCCACCAATATTTTATACAAAGGGGTAAGTTTGCACATTCAATTTAAGGTGGCCAATGGACGGTGAAGGAAGATCACAGGCTGATAACAGGTTCTAGG